GAGGTAAGTGTGTGTGTGTGTGTGTGTGTGTGTGTGTGTGTGTGTGTGTGTGTGTGTGTGTGTGTGTGTGTGTGTGTGTGTGTGTGTGTATACCTTCTGCACCGATGGACACCAGTTTGACTCCTTTGCTGGCGATGAAGTCCAGCGCTTTGTTGACATTGTTGATCTTGTGCACTCTCATCTTGCCTCTTTCAGGTTTTGGTAACCTCTCCCCTGCATAAACGCACACACACACACACACACACACACACGATGAGTTTCACAGTCTTTCCATCACATCAGCATATTCATTAACCTGATTACTCTCTCCCTGGCTAAACATTAACTCTGTGTTTCTGCAATACTGCAAACAGCTTTGGAATTGGAAAGTTGCAAATGAACAACAGTCTTTAAGGAAGTGTGGATGGATGGATGAGTGTGAAACAATAAGTATAAATGAATGAGCAAGTAAATGACAAATACAAGTGTACAAGTGAATGACTGTGAAAGAATGAATGAACGAACGAACAAGTGTAAATGAATGAGTGAGCAAGTAAATGGCAAATACATGTGTACAAATGAGTGACTGAGTGATCGAGTGAGTAATTGCATGAGAAAATGAGAGTGAATAACTGAGATGGTGAAAGAATGAATGAGTGAATGATCAAGTGAATGAGAGCAAATAACTGAGTGAATGAAATAATGGAGTAAATGAAGGATGAATGAATAAATGCTCAAAAAAGTGTGAATGAATGAGTGAGCAAGTAAATGGCAAATACATGTGTACACAAATGAGTAACTTAGTGATCGAGTGAGTGATCGAATGAGAAACAGAGTGAATAAATGAGACGGTGGGAGAATGAGTGAGTGAATGAATGAACAAGTGAATGAGATCAAATAATTGAGTGAATGATCAAGTGAGCAATCAAATGAGTGAGTGAATCATCGAGTTAGTGAGCAAATGAGTGAGTGAATGATTGAGTGAGTTAGTGGACAAATGAGTGAATAAATCGAGTGAGCAATCAAATGATTAAGTGAATGATTGAGTGTGTGAATGAATCGAGTGAGCAATCAAATGATTGAGTGAATGATTGAGTTAGAGAACAAATGAGTGAGTAAGCACATAATTCATCAAATCCATCCGATGGAGTAATCTTTCGAATGAGTGAGTGAATGATTGAGTGAGTTAGTGGGCAAATGAGTGAATAATTAAGTGTGTGAATAAATTGAGTGAGCAATCAAATGATTGAGTGAATTATTGAGTTAGAGAACAAATGAGTGAGTGAGCACATAATCCATCAAATCCATCCGATGGAGTAATCTTTCAAATGAGTGAGTGAATGATTGAGTGAAATATTGGGTGAGTGAATGATTGAGTGAAAGATCGAGTGAGTTAGGGGGCAAATGAGTGAGTGAATAAGTAGTGAGCTATCAAATGAGTGAGTAAATGATTGAGTGAGCAAATGTATTAGTGAATGATCAAGTGAGTTGGTTGGCAATTTAGTGTCAATCGAGTGAATCATCAAGCCTTTGAGCAAATAAGTGAGTGATCAAGCACTATAATTAGGGATAGTGTAAAATAATAGAGTAAGAGAGTGATTGACTGAGCAAATGATTGAGTGAATGATCAAATGAGAGTGAGAAAATGACAGTGAGTGAGAGAACGATTGAGTGAGTCAGAAAATGAGAGTGATCAAGTGAGTTAGTAGACATACGAGTAACTGAATGATTTGGAAAGCAAATGAGTGAGTGAATAATCGAGTCAATGATTGAGTGAGAAATCAAATGATTAAGCAATTAAGGGTGAATGATTGAGTGAGAAATTGAGGAAGTAAATGAGAATGTAAATGAATGAGGGAATAATTAAGTGAGTCAATGAGTGACTGGACGAGCAAGTAAATGATTGAATAAGTGAAAAGCAAAAGAGCGAGTAAAAATGTGAATAAGTGATTTAGCAAATGAGCAAATAAATAAGTGAATAATGAATAAGTGAAAAAATAAGCAACGGCGTGAGTGAATAAATGATTGTGGTGATTCATTGAGCAAATGACTGAACAAATAAATAAATGGAAGTGAGTAAATGATATAGTGAGTTAGTGGGCAAATGAGTAACTGAATGATCGAGTGAGCAAATGAGTGAACAAGAAAATGAGTGAGTGAATAATCGAGTAAGTCAATGATTAAGCACATTAGTGTGAATGATTGAGTGAGTGAAAGATTGAGGAAGTAAATGAGTATGTGAATCACTGAGTGAGCAAATGAATGAGTGAATAATAGAGTGAAAAAAGTGACTGAATGAGCAAGTAAAGTGAATAAGTGAGCCAGCAAATAAATGAAGAATGAATAAGTGAATAAATATGTCAGCCAATCCGTGAGTAAATAAATGATTGGGGTGATTTATTGAGCCAATGAGTGAATGAGTAAGAAAATTAAGGAGTAATGAGAATGAGCGAGTTACCTAATTAGTGATGAATGAGTGAACAAAAGACTAATGTAAGGAGCAAATAAATTAGTAAGTAAATGAATAAGCGACATTGCAAATAATCAAATGAATGAGCCAATCAAATGAGTGATCAAATGCATGATTGAATAATTAAGTAGGAAATTTAGTGAATGTGTGAATAATACAAGTAAAGAATTGAGTGAATGAATAAAAAAAATGAAAAATGGTAATCACCAATCATCAAATCAATTTAGGTGAATGAATGAGTGAATCAGCAAATGACTGAGCAAATGAAAGTGAATGATCGAGTGAGCAAATGAGTGAACAAGAAAATGAGTGAGTGAATAATCGAGTAAGTCTATGATTGAGGAAGCAAATGATTAAGGAAGTAAAGGAGTGCACGAATGAATGAGCCAATGAATGAGTGAGCCAATGAATGAGTGAATAATCGAGTAAATGAATGACTGAATGAGCAAGTAAATGAGTGAATCAATGAGCCAGCAATTAAATAAGTGAATAATAAACAAATGGGTCAGCTGATGTGTGAGAATAAATGAATGGGGGATATTGTTGAGCCATTGAGTGAATAAGCAAGTTAATGAGTGAGCAAATTAGTGATGAATGAGTGAACAAATGTCTAATGGAACGAGCAAATAAAATTATTGAGTGAATAAATAAATGAGTGAGATTGACTGAGTGAATATTCACTGTTTAATCACTCATTCACACATTTTCCTTCTTGAATAATGTAAAGAGAAAACGAGTAAGTAAATTAATGAATGAACAAATGACTGATTAATGACTGAGTGAACGAAAGTTCGACGCGCTCTGACCTGAAATGACCTCCAGGAGCAGCATTAGTTTGAGTCCATCTCTGAAATCCTCCTCGATGTTTTCGATCTGCGTTCCCGCTTTCCTCAGGTGAGAGTTGCACCAGGCCGTGAAAGTCTAGAACAAACAGGAAATTATGTTAAAACAAGTGGAAGTGAGGTCACAGAGCCAGGCAAACAGGAAACGGGCTGTGCTTCAGAAGTTTGCTGAGGATAACCAGTTCAAAAATCAACATCCGAAGAGTTTACCATATAAACACGAGGTCAACTTTTGCATGCTACAGTTTGACAACCTTTGAAATACTGGATACATGACAGATAAAATATGACATTTGATGTGTTAAGACAAATGACAAATTAACATTGTTTTAGTATTTGCCGCTGTAAATCAATGCTACTTTCAATAAACATATTGACGCCTAATCCCAATTCTATTTTTGTACCCTTACCCCTTCCCCCTTACAACGGAGGGTTAAGGGGAAGGGCTTCAAAATTTACCCCTAACAACTGGGCCAGCACTAGGGCACCTGCACACGTCATCATATGTCCTCGCGATCTGTTGCTTCATGTGAGATCAGACGATGGCGACTGCTGTAGTGATTCCAGTTGTGTAATTTTTTGGTATTTATCTTCAGGAAATCACTGAAGGCATATATCCTGTTATCATAACGATCTAATGTGGCAATAAGATCATAACTGTACTGTGTATTTACACAGTGGCCATATTTATCAATGTAAACACACCAAAAACAACATGAACATTATAGCAGACACTGTAAAAAGCCCATTCCCAGCCACTAGACATTACTGACAGGATATTCCAGTGTCATCGAGGGTCAGAATGTTGTGGGATTGCTGTACAGGAGTTATTTAATAGGGATTATAGATTGCGAAATTTAGCGTTTTTTTGTGTGTTTTTTTTAAAGCATGACGGTAAAACACCAACACGGTTATGAATATATTAAAACTTGTTTATTTGTCATAAAAATTCATAATAATGACAACAAATACTAATTTGTGGATCTCTTTACTTCCGGATACAGCAATACTGCCGCTGTGGCTGGTGCATTCTGGGAAATTTTCTTACCCCTTGGTTTCAAGTGTGGTCCTGAAAAATCTTTGTTCGAAGGGCTATTCACCCCTTTACCTTAGCCCTACGCCTTCAAGCTAAAGAGAATTGGGACAACCCTACCCCTTGGCGCGCACGCGCAAAACGAGGGGTGGGGGTAAGGGGAAGGGCTAAGGGGTAGAACTGGGATTGGGCCTAAGAAAATATTCATTTATGAAGAAATTGAAATAAACGTCAATATTACACGAAGTTTAACTTGGTTTTTATGCTAAACAAAAATGCTAAATTCTCTCTTTTTTTTAAAATGACAAGTTTAACATTGACTCCACAATAAATATACTTTTAACAATTACATAAATATATTTATTTATTGGCTATTGATCCAAATTGATTAAGGCCGTACTCACACTATGTACAGTTGCCTCGAACCGGGCCAAAGCACGCTTGTCCCCCCTCCCGTTTCCCCCGACGACCTGCACTCACATTACAATGGGGCCTGGGCACGCTTAAGTCATCGCTGCTGCGTTGTTCAGTGAGAAGCGCTCTCGCTCAGCAGCACAGTGGAGATTTCTCTAGTTATATTATGTCAGTCGTTTGTTATGCAGTGACATGCAGTCAAATATTTCGCCAAACAGTCCTTATGGATGCGGTGACACGCAGTCAGTTGTTTCGCCGAACAGATCCGCCATTTTTGGCACTCATAAACAATCATAAAGTCCTCGTGCTGCAGGAATGAGGAGGTTTTCTGAAGGCGTGCAGCTGTCGTGCAGTGAGGAGTTTGCGTCTTTAATAAACTACGACAGTTTTCGTTCATTTAACAGTAAGAGTGATTAATAAATCCATATGAAACAGTCCCTTAAAAGTCGCGTCTCGCTTTCAGTTTCGGGCTTTAGCGTGTTTTGCACTCACACTACAAGCGTACCGCGCCAAAGCTCAAGTGAACCGCGCTCAGGCCCACCTCTTCCAACCGGGCCAGGGCCGGCCAAGTGAACCATGCCTGAGCCCGATTCAGTGCACTCACACCTCAAACGATCCGGGAAACGGGCCTGGGCCCAGTTCGGATAGCATAGTGTGAGTAGGCCCTAAGTATAATTTCTATTCAACCTAACACGTGCCTGTTATACATGGTTCACACACATTTTTACTACTGAAATTCCATGAGCTTTCCATGATTTTTCCAAGAGTTTCAAGCAAATGTCCATGACCTAATGTTTCATGCAATGCCTACTAGGGGTGTAACAGTTCACAAAATTCACGGTTTGGTTCAACACAGCACAGTGGTGTCACGGTTCGGTATGTTTTCGATACAGCAAACAAAGAAAAAAGCCAGAGGATTTCTCTGATTTTAATTTACCGGCCCTATTATTAATTAATTCCCAGTGGTGGGCGGAATGAACCACCAACTTATCCAGCACGTTTTTACACAGCGGATGCCCTTCCAGCCGCAACCCATCTCTAGGAGTATATATATATATATATATATATATATATATATATATATATATATAT